GCCCCATGCCCCCATCTCTCTCATATCCAGCTGGGCTGCCTTTGAACAGTCCAACTCCCGAGGGGAGATGTTTGTCCTGGAGAAGGGCAAGTGTCCGCGCTGGGACACCTGGCCCAGCAGCTACCGGCTCATGTCCTTCCCACCCATCAGGATGGGGAATGGCTCCTGGATGGGGTCTGGGGGGTCAGTAGGGAGAGGGCTGGGCAAGAGTCTGACAGCAAGCAAAGAAATGGGGGTGAGCAAGGGAAAGAAGGAGGGAATGGTGGGCAGGGGAGCGTGGCGACCTCTGAGTTGTCCAAGGACAGTGGGCTCTTGAGCTCATAGATTCACAAGTCGGCTCTGATGTGTCCGGCCCCAGATAGGAGCCCCGGGCAAATGAGAAACATAAAACCCATTTATTTCCTTCCCTGCTGCTATCAAGAGTGAACTCAACCTCCCAGTTGTCAGAGCTGGAAACTTCAGCACCTTCCTTGAGTCTATTCATAGGATATTTCTAATTCCTGGCTGCACAATAGGCCCTCCTGGGCAGCTTTGAAAATCCCAGTGTCCATTCAAAACAACCAACATGCAGGCCAAAAAGCATGCAGTGTCTGAGAAAAGGGGTGCTGTGGAAAGCCACCTGAACTCCTCAATGATAAGGCAATATACTGAATCAGCCCCTTTATAATATTTAACTCAGTTAAATAGTATGATTTAAAGAAGATGCAAAGCCAAGACTGGTGGAGCTATCCCTGAGCAACTCAGTTTCTCCAGAAGTGTGTGGCTCAAGAACCAGCCGCATCTTCACTGGTCAATGTCAGATTCCCATGGTAACCAACTTTTGCCTTCCTGGATGGGATTTTCCTGAAGAATTTTCACGGATGGCCACTCGTGGTCAGCAGGTACCAACAGCCAGCTCTTTGGGCACCTCCAGACTTACCTTAATGGATTATCCAACCAGGTCATTCTCAACGTTTTTTCCAGAATTTGAGGCTGAATGATCAGCCTTTATAATGGACCCTTGGTAAGAGTTCATAGATTTATCTTTCTATCATTGAAGGGTCTCTGAATGGCAATCCAAGCCAAGGGAGCTTGTTTGGAGAGCCATCAGCCAGGGCATTTCACGGTAGCTTCTACAGCTTTGCTGTCCGATCCAGCCACATATGACCGTTGAACTTGAATTTGGGCTAGTCCAACTAAACTAAACTGTGCTGTAAGAGTAAGATAGCGTACCAGATTTTGAATACAGAGTAAAAAAGCAAAATAAGAATGTAAACTATCTCATTAACACTGTTATATTGGTTATAAATTGAGATTATCATATTTTGGATGTATTTCCTTAAAATCAAATATATTATTAGGAAAAATATCCCAATGCTTGAACCCTTCCCCAGACCAATGAAATCTGGGGCAGGGGCGCTTCTGTCTTGTTCATGCCTCCAGGTAGACTGTGCAGCCAGGCTTGAGAGCCGCTTGTCTGGCTTAATCTGTCCCCTGTCCCCTGCCTCCATCCTGGACAGCTCCAGCTTCCCCCTCACTGGGCTCCCTCACTCCTTTCCAGCCTCCTCTCCTGGGTTGTTAGAAGGATCTCCAACCTAACCGTCTTCCACTTACAGTCAAGCCTTTGAACACTGTTGGTAGATCTGTTCTGTTAGGCTCTGCGGTCGGCTCTGGGTGCAACTCTGCCTGAGATGGGCAAGGCCCCTGACCTCACGGGAGGCGGTGATTGAAACCTAATCGTGGAAATCAATCTGTTAAGGCAAACCACTGTGGTCGGTGCTGCACGGGGAGCCTGCAGTGTGCTAAGAGAGCGGAAGAGAGGAGCTGGGGCTCTGATGTTGGGGGAAGGAGTGGTCAGGGGGCGACCAGGGAAGACAGCTCCTGAAAGATGGGAACCGAGTCAGCCCTGGGAAGAGTGGTGGAGGAGCCTTTCCAGGGAACAGTGAGTGCAAAGTTTCTGAAGCTGGGAGGACTGGGTGCCAATAAGGAACTAAAAATTGGCCAGTGTGGCTATGGCAGAGGGAGTGGAGGCGAGAGGGGTACCAAGTGGGGTGGGAGAAATAAAATGCTTCTTTGAAAGGTTCTGCCCCTTGCTGGCTGTGTGACACTAATCAAGAATCTACCTCTCTGAGCCTCTGCATCCTAACTGCATAAATTTTTTTGCGTGTATGCTAAAGTGCTAAGTGGTCTATGTGGATTAACTCATTTAACCCTCACAACAACTCCATGCAGTAGAGGCTGATAGCTTATTTTCATAGGGGAAGAGGGCCCTTCCAGGCTGGACAGCAGCGACCCTTTGAGGGTCCCACAGTGGTCTGAGCAGACTCAGCTCTCTCTCTTCACATCTAGGAGCCCCCACTAAGTTATTGCTCTTTGCTTTGTTCATATTTCCCATGCAAGACTCAGTCTCTCCTTCCCCAGGACTCCCAAGAGCACAAGATCTACCTGTTTGAAGAAGCCAACTTCAAGGGCAGCACCATGGAGATCCAAGAGGACGACATCCCCAGTCTCTGGGCCTATGGCTTCTGTGATCGTGTGGGCAGTGTGAGGGTCTTCAGTGGAATGTAAGCATCTTCTTGCCAGGCCCTCAGCCAGACCTGGAGTCTCTACCCCTCAGAGGATATAACATCAGATGCATAGGAAAGGCCACAGCCCCTCCCTCCCCAATTCTTCCAATGCCGGTGGCTGGAATTCCACCCACAGAGCTCTGTTCCTCTGGGAAATGGTGTCATTCTTTGATGAATTACGTGTCAGTGTAAACAAATTTGACAACTGGGCCTAAAAGGCTGGAAGATGGAGAGAATAGGGGCTTCTGAACCCATATTGGGATTGAAAAAGTAACTAAGTTGGGAAGCACAGTTGATGCGGATAGATGAGTCTGGATGGGTCTAGGGAAAGAGGATATTCAGAGAAATCCAGAGGCTCCGGGGAAATGAGCAGAATGACTTCTGACGAACAAGACTGTGTAACGAAAAGGCCTTGACTTTGTCACCGATGAGCTGTGAAAGCCGGGTGAGCCTCACGCCCCTCTCTCCACCTCAGTGTTGTCGTCTATATAATGGGTATACCAAACTCCTTGATACAGAAGGGCTCTTTCTGCTCTGAACTCTCAGGATTTGAAAGGTCGAAACAGAGCCCCGTGATCCCATGTCTGTGAGAAAACAGGGGACGACTGGATGCCCAAAGGAGGTAGTTTTATCCATCCTCCCACCTCCAAACAACCATGCCAGACACCCCTGGTCTACTCTGGGCAAGTGTGAGGCTTCTACCTCTCTACCACAGACGCTAACTGAGCTCCCGTAATACCGTCAGGGCCCTGGCCTTTTTCTTGCTTCTTTCTTCTTCCCTGAAACCAGCAGCCTGCATTCAAACCATCGGAAATGTACTAAGCAGTGCCTTGGGGCCAGGCACGCTAGGGAGTCAGAGATGACGAAGGCTTAGTTCCTGTCTTCAGGGAGATCACTCAGCCTAGCAGGGAGCCCCAAGTATATCTGTGAGATGATGTCCACCAATACTAAGTCAGAGATGGTCCATACAGGAGGTCAGGGGAGGGAGGATGGTTTTGGGGTGGGGGGTGCTGGAGTGGAGGACAGGTCAGAGGCTTATCTGAGGAGGCTGGAACTTAAACCAGACTTTACAAGGTGACCATCCCTACTTTCTAGAGGAGACTACAGGGACAAATGGAGAACTGGCCGGTCAGGCAAGGGGCTGGATGGCAGGCAGTGAGGCTGTCCTGCTTGCTTCCCCCCCAGCTGGGTAGGTTATCAGTATCCCGGCTACCGCGGGTACCGGTACCTCCTGGAGCCTGGTGACCTCCCGCACTGGACCGAGTGGGGAGCCTTCCAGCCCCAGGTGCAGGCCGTGTGCCGTCTGCGTGACAGGCAGTGGCGTCGCGAGGGCTGCTTCCCAGCCCCGGCCCCCGAGCCTCCCAAATGAGTCCACACTCTACTTTTTTGCTCTCCCCTGTTCCTCAGACTCCATTTCTCCATCTTTCTCATGCAAATAAAAATGCCTAAAGCCAAATGTCTGCTGGGTATGTGAACAGACAACGTGTGCCTTGAGGTCCCCCATCATCGCTGGCATGTGACTTTCTCAATCTTAATAATTAAAAACAAAGTTCTCTACATGCGTTCTCTTGGCATATCTTTTGAACTACTCTGGGAGGCTGACATTATAATTATTCCTATTTAACAGGTAAGGAGAGTGAGGCTCAGAGAGGGAACGTGACTTACGCAAGGCCACACAGCTAGCACGTGGAGACTGGAGCCCAGACAATCTGGCTCCAGAGCTGCACTCCCAAACAAATCTGTGTTTGCAAACTCTATCCCTTCATGCACCAGTCTCATGACATTTTTGCCCTCTCTGCTTACCACCTGCTTCATTATTTACTTAATGTTTTTATTTAAATAGACGTACTATTTTGGGCTTAAATGCACTGATTTGTAAATAAGACTTTATAACTCTACGGGAAGTGGAAAGTCAGCATCCAGCTGATATCATATGCCACAGATAGAAAGTGATTTTATAAATAAATACAATTCAAAGGCGGCCACGTATAGAGCTCTCAACAGACACCACTGCCTGCGGAGGGCTCTAAGCCTGCAACCTGCTCCCTCTTTGACAAAATGGGCGATTAACAAGTGTCAAGAGGAATGAAAGGACATGCTTGCATGAAACTGAGAATTTTTTTTCCTCCCTGATTTTATCAAAGGAGATTGAAAAGAGCATTGTTTTCTTGTATTTAACCCTGGGTCCAAATTCCACCTGGAATCGTCTCTCCTACTGCAAATGCTACATGTCCTGCTTTTTGGAAATCTGCACCAGGCAATATTGCCTCTCCTGTCATCAGTTGGCATTGATTGGCATTATTTACCTTTAATCCATGCAGGAAGCCTGGGGGAGGTGTTGCCATGGCTATCTTCGTGGAGGAGAGGATATTTGAAGGAGGCCTTGAAGGATGGAGCAGGAGCTTGCTTAGTGGAGAAGAGGGTGGGGAGGACATTCCAGGCAGAGCAAACAGCAGGCTCCCTGCTAATGATTAAAAAGATGCCTTTTCCTCAAGACATTTGACTGCCACCTGCCAGAAATGATTGGTATGAATCTGCAATGTCTACAACGTGAATGTGGGACCCTTGTGCTGGGCTCAACTTGCACAGCTGCACCTGGCACCCCTGGAGCACCACGGGCAAAGGGGTGCTCGCGGTGGACCCAGGCGAAGCTCACCGAGGTGGAAGCGGGAGCTCGGTGGCGTGCAGGCAAAAGGAGGGCGTGGGAAGGGGATGCCGGGTGTGGCAGGAGATGAAGCTGGAAAGAAACGTGGGGCCTCATGACACCACTCTGTGGTTTTGCTGAGCGTCAAAGTTGAGGCACTCTCTGACATAGAAGGTCTTTCCCTGTACAGCTCACATTTCCCCTCTCCCTCCCACGCTAGCTCTCCCAACCTCCACCTTCCAATTCGCTCGGAGTCTTGTGTTAGAAGGAAGGTTGTCCTGTCTTGGCCCAGAAGGTGGGATTCCTGGGCAGGAACCAGGAGATCCCTGTCTCAGCCCTGCTCTACTGTTAGAAGCTGCAGTGTTGGCAAAACCACTTCTGTCCCCGGGATGCATTCTTCAATCTGTGAGATGATGGCTCCAATGAGCATCCAGCCCGGTGATTCTGACCCTGGGATCCTATGATTCGCCAAGATTCTGTAATCTATCTCTAGGCATCCACGAGTCTTTAATTCCAAAGTCAAGCTACAGAGATTCCCATTGTCAGCTCCTAGGGCCTGTGAGTGCAGCTCTGAAATTCTGTGGTGGAGCCAAGCCTTAGAATCATGAGCCACACAAACCCAACTTCCATATTCCCTCATCGCTAAGACCTCATGATGGCAAGACACGCCATGATTTTATGACCCAAGAAAGACCAAGAGACATACTATCCATTCAAACAAAACACAACTGCTTTCCGAGCACTTAAACTTTGTATTCCATGCATATCGGAAAACTATATTGGACTTATGGAGACATAACAGTTTTTTTCCAGTGTATCCATCTTTTGAGTCATATAAAAGAAAAACATAATAGGAATTTGTCAGTTAAGTTAGTCCTAATACTTCTTTGCATTCATTCATAGTCTAGATCCGGATGGCTTTCAACTCATAGTTGTCTATATCATTTTCTCACGGGTGTTATATGAAAAATGTGCATATTAGCATCGCTGAAACATGATACACACACTTGGCAACACAAAGAAAAACTGGAAGAAAGTAACAAAGTAATTACTTTATATTTATTGTTTTATCAATACATTAAACATTTGTTAGCAAATTTATGAATAAACAAAACATGTAATAAAAACAGAGAAGTGATTAAAATTATAAGCAAAAATAAACACCAAAGATAAAAAGAACCAAGTAAAAGAAATTCACATGTAAAAAAGTCAGGAGGGAGCCACACATAAGAGTTATAAATTCGTTCTTCCTTCGGTGAGTCCCAGTTCTAACACGCTTCTGGAAATGTGAGCCTCTCATTGCCTGGGGCACAATTTCAGAGCTTAAAGATAAAGTCCTGACTCCTTCCCATAGCCCATGAAGCCCTGCAGCATCCAACCCTTGCAGCATCCAACCCCTGTAGACTCCTCTGACCTCCTCTCCCCCCTCCCCCCGCATCCTGACCACCCTTCAATGTATGCAAGGCCGGGAATCGAAGGGCCTTCCTGCTGGACCCTTGTACTCTTCTATGAACCCTCACCTATGTTTCAGGCCTCAGTGTAAAGACACGGTTGTAAACACCCCTGGCCTTCCCTCCCGGACCAGGTTAATCCCCCCTGTTCCCAACTCCCCAAGGCTTGCTGGAGGGTTCAGCTTCCCCGACTTGAACACAGGGCCCTAGGCTTCCTGTTACCTGCTGGCCCCCAGTGCTCAGCATGAGGTACCCAGGAAATGCCTCTTCCCTCGATCTCTATTTCTCCACCCACAAATGAACATTATAAAACACCCAGCGGGGCTACTATGCAGCCAGTCGTACAAAACCTGTCATATGTGCACAATTAACACTACATCACATTGTTCTATTGATTCCAGACCAGAACAGCCGCTCCATGAAGGCAGGGGAATTCCTTTTCGTCAGTTCCAGACCTTCCTGCACGACAGGCACTATTTATTGTCCTGTTCCTTGTAGGACAATTAGCAGCATCCCAAGCCTCTGAGACCCACTAGATGCCAGTATGACCCCCCCACCCCACCCCAATGACGAC